GATGTAGCTCGTCTGTGCTGGGACATTCTTTTGAACAGTGGCTGCTTTGTTTCCCCGATGTATAACTGGTAACAGTCATCCTGGCACTTACTGAGATGCATCAGGACAGCATTTTAATAGGAAAAATGTGGCTGAAAAAGGGAAATAGCTAAAAAAAAAAACACCAAAAGTCCTAACTGGAATGTCCTGAAGGAGTTGAACATTTTGATACATGAATTGTTAAAATAGCACAAAAATTGCAGAACGAGATATGTGCCAAAAAACACACAAAAGAAAAAAATGATCTCAATAGTGAAAGTGTTTGTGAAACGTTCACACAGATATTGGATTATTTTTATTTTGTAACGATACACAGAACCCCAGAACTTAAAGAGTGTGGACAGGTTTGTTTTTTCTACTGACTGTATTTATTTACATGTAGGCAGATATTCCCTCTTCAGCCACAAGAGGGCGTCCATCAGCTGTTTAGATCAGTGGTTCCCAAAGTTGGGGTCGGGACCCAAAGTGGGGTCCTGAAACATCAAGGTGGGGTCCTGAAAATATTTTCGGAATTAATTATACTAAAAAATGACAACCAACAACAGTTTTTTGCGTTTGTTCTTACAAAATAATAAGATTAGTGTACTTAGAATGGACAAAAATAATGTTATATGCTCGTTCATTTATTTGACGTAAAAACAATATTTATTGTTACAACAGATGGGGGCTCAGGTCTCTGYTTCTAAAATKTTGTGGCTGAAAAGTTTGGAAACCATTGGTTTAGATCATTTGCCCCAAACTGAACCCGGCATCTCTGCCCTGACAGACAGCCAGGGAGCGAGGAGCAGYGGTGGTCAGACCGCCCTGGGTGGAGCAGGACGGCCACGGGAGGGTCAAGTATGCTGTGATTCAGACGGTACATAAAGGCTGACTCACTGGGTAAATACACACAAGAAGCTGCAGCTGAATAATGATGTTGTGTAAATGTTTTGTTCTTAGTACGGTGACACAACCCACACACTGGTTGAGTACCTGGAACCCTACAAAGGCCTCTTCCTGCCAGGCTACAAGGAGCCTCTGTTCAGGGACCCTCTGTTAGCCAAACTGTGAGTTTTACTGTCTGTGTACTTCGATAAAAGAAACATAAACACARCTACAGGGTTCTTTGCAATGCTTTTGTGCATCCACATACATGCTTAAATAATACCGTATCTGCTGTAAATAAATACAGATGTATTTATGAGTAAAAATATACTGCTTTCCAAATTTGGGGTCAACTTTCAATGTGGGTCATAATGAAACATCAAAGAAAATGGTCCTTTGATAACTTCCAGATATTTAACATTTATCTTTTTAACCACGATACAAATTAACGGACAAAAATATTTGAAGTCTGAACCGCAGGACTCAGTGTTACAGTGAGCTGCCACCAGTAATGTGCAAAAAGATTTCTGAGATTTCTCACCTCAGCCTCTCCACAGAGGTCAGACTGTCGAGTCCAAAAACTGAGTCAGGCCTCCCAATGAGTGCTAAATGATCAAAATAAATCAAATTTAGTATAGCACATTTAAAAACTTCTGTCGTAACACAAGACAAACAGCAAAATAATCAGTACTAAATATAATAGTGCATAAAATACAACCATATATATA